ATATATATATACATATATATACGTTTATATATATGTATTTACCTTTCTTTGATATATATTATATATATATATATATATTGGCCTATATAGGTCTATATAGGCTATATAAATGTATAAAATGTGTATATATAAATTTATATACATATATATACACATATTTACATATGTATTTATATATACACATATATATATGTATATATACATATACATATATATATACACATAGATATATACATATATATACACATATTTACATATATATTTATATATATACATATATATATGTATATATACATATACATATATATATATCATAGGCCCTATATATATACACAATATAATATATACACATAGATATATACATATATACGTCTATATATAGGCATATATAAATCATCAAAGAAAGGTAAATACAGTGTTACTTTACAGTAACTTTGAATTTACTTTTCTTTGATATATAGGCTATATACCGGTAAATGTATAAAATGTGTATATATAAATGGAGATATATATAGCCCTATATAGGCTATATAAATGTATAAAATGTGTATATTGAAATTTATATACATGTATATATATACATATATATGTATCATATATATATATGTATATATACAATATAATTTATCTCTCGTATTTCTATTTGAACCTTTGATGATTTATATGCCTATATAGGCTATATTAAATGTACAAAATGTGTATATATATATTTACATATTTCTATATTTCTATATATATATATATATATATATATATATATTATTTATTCTCATCCGTATTTTTAAATGCTTTATAAGATTTTTGGAATTGTTTCAGTCTTGCACAATATCAAATTATAGTGTCACTTTTTTATTTGAACCCTGGATTATATGAAAGTCAAAGAAATTTTCAGTATTCCTACTAGTACATAGATATATTGTATACTTCAATCCGTTTAATTTTTTTTTTTTTAGTGTAGTAGGCCTTGTCCGATGGGACGGTTAGAAGAGGAAATGATACAGCCCTACATGCGGATGTGTGTGTCAAATGACTTGTTTGGTCGAGCTTTTACTTAGAAATTACAATTTGATAATAAGCTCCTGTGCATATTATTTTCAGACGAGCAACAAGATTATTTGCCGTTTGAATATGAAAAAGTAGAGATTTAGTCTGCGGAATGCTAGCCTTTGTCGATGCTTCTTTTGTTTATCCAACTGTTCAAGGTGAGCTTAACATAGAAAAAAGACTCGATCAGCCGAGTGAAAGTACCATAACAAGATAAGCAGGATGCACTGTGTTCTTCCTTTTTAGGAAGAACACAGGATTAAGTTAGGAAATTCGTCACAGGTCTGTAACTACAAGTCTAATACTAAAGTTTAAAATACTAGGACACGCCTATATTTTTTTTTAACCAGTTGCTAATTATTTAAGTGACTCTACTGAACAAAGGGGTTCAGTATCCTGTGTAATTAACTAGAGGCCATGAGGCCCCTGGCCGCGAGTGACGGGGTACGGGCGAAGCCATTCGTGCTAAAATTTCCTATTTTGATGCATTTTTTACACGTTCTAATAACAGGCGCCAGTTGGCCAATTTGGGGTCATAGGTCCTGACAAAAATGTACTGAGTTACAATCCAGGGCTAATAAAAATTCCGGATCCCCTGGTTTCAGAAGTGAGGGGTCATTGTTACGTCCTTGCATATTCCATATCTCATGATTATCGCACTACATGTCCATGAAGCATCCAGACGACTAAATAATTAACTTGATAATAATCATGCATTTATGAAGCGCGTTATGTTAATTGCATCAAAACCGATTACAATAACATTTAAAACTTATGTTCAGCTCAGATGTTTTCTACAAAAAAAAATTATTGACGAGGTATTTCCACTAACACACACAAGCCCAGCCTACCACAATCAGCACGTATATACCACACCACTTCACACCGCAGCAGTGAATATGCCTAAAGCGTTTTGTATAACTTGTCCGAATATCAATTTGTTTAAAACTCACCTCCGGCATATTGGTAATATTTTTTTGTCTCACCGTAAATAGACCAGACCTAAAGTTAGTGGTACTGCAAAGCAGGCTGAGTGACAGATTTGGATGGAAGTCTGTATTATTTGGTTTTGATTCCTTGTTTTAGATCATTCCATTCTCAAACAGGGAGTAAATAATTTCCGAGTTGGCGACTATAAACTGAACTAGTAAAATGTATTCGTCATATGTATTATAAATGTATAGCCTAACTA